AACTGACTCGGTTTTAACACTAAACCAGTTCCCTCAAACATTTCTCACAAATCCTTCAAATCTTAGAATATTTACCCATGCAAAATTCCTACTGTGCTCACAGAAACTTTGATAGTGTAAACCAGGCTTTAAGCTCACTGCAAGGCCCTGCATATTGCAAGAATCGAATACCAGTCCAAAAGGTGAAAAACATAACATCCACTAATCACGACACCATAATTTATCAGAATGTTGGATTTCTAGGTTGAGTGGAAAGAGAAAAAAGTGCAAGGCGTAGAGGAAGATATTTCGTTGCAAAGGAAACAGTTGGTGCTCATGGAGAACGAGATGAAGAGACGCGAGAACGAAGTTGAAGAACGTGAGAACACAATTTTGATGGAACTTGCCACAATGAAGGAAACGCTAGTGGAGAAAGACGCCAAGATTAAGAGTCTTAATTCTGACTTGATGGAGGTAGCACAATATGAAGATGCTTGCTAAATAGCGCGGTATACGCAACAAAGCTTTATCAGTTTAGATCTGATAGAGCTATCCAGTATAAATAAAGTTAGTTTAGTTCACGTTTCCTCCTGTAGTAACACTGGATCAATAAGAGATGCTTCTTACTGGACTTCTAGGAAGAACAGTTTAGAACTGATAGAGCTATCCAGTATAAATAAAGTTAGTTTAGTTCAGGTTTCCTCTTGTAGTAACACTGTGATCAATAAGAGATGATCCTTACTGGACCTCCAGGAAGAACAGTTTAGAACTGATAGAGCTATCCAGTATAAATAAAGTTAGTTTAGTTTAGGTTTCCTCCTGTAGTAACGCTAGATCAATAAGAGATGATCCTTACTGGACCTCCAGGAAGAACAGTTTAGAACTGATAGAGCTATCCAGTATAAATAAAGTTAGTTTAGGTTTCCTCCTGTGGTAACACTGGATCAATAAGAGATGATCCTTACTGGACCTCTAGGAAGAACAGTCTAGAACTTATAGAGCTATGCAGTAGAAATGAAGTTGGTTTAGTTTAGGTTTCCTCGTGTAGTAACACTGGATCAATAAGAGATGATCCTTACTGGACCTCTAGGAAGAACAGTTTAGAACTGATAGAGCTATCCAGTATAAATAAAGTTAGTTTAGTTTAGGTTTCCTCCTGCAGTAACACTGG